GCAGGTTTTTGGGTGCAGGAGGAGCAGCATGGCTCAGGGCAGAGCTGGGCAGGAGGAGCAGCATGGCCAGGGCAGTTTGGGGCCAGGGCAGAGCTGGGCAGGAGGAGCAGCATGGCCAGGGCAGTTTGGGGCTGCAGGGGTTACTGGGGTGCCGTGGCTCAGGACAAACAGCCTCTCTGTTGCCAGGGCTGCTCCCCGTGTTCCCTGATGCTGCAGTTGCTGGGCAACATCTCCAGCTGTACCAGCCAGAGCTGCCCAGGAGCTGCAGCTCCATGGACTCTCCTTGTCCGTGTCAGGTATCAGGGGGAAATTGGCTCATTTTACCAACCTCACTGCAAGCTCTGCCCCTTCTCAGAGGGATGAGCCTGGGCCCCCTGGGCAGCACCTCTGTTTGGGACAGAATCTGGTAAAACAACATCTGACACTGGCAACAGAGTTGGAAGAAAAGGAGATTGGAGCGATGGGGGAGCCGGGCAGAGGAAGGGGATGAGCAGCCCCAGAGCCTGCTGTGCACTGGACGTGTCTGGAAGGGTCACAAAAGGGGTTTTTCTGTGCAGAACATTTCCATGCCCCGTGGCTGTCTTGACTGGAAGGATCTGTGCTCAGCATCCGTGGTTCACACCCCAACATGAAGCTGAACAGAGGGAAGCAGGAGAGCTCCGAGGGCAGCGAGGGTCCCAAGGGGGTGAGTGTTGGCTGCTGTTCCAGCTTGAGTGTCCCGCGGGAGACAGAACAAGCCCTGGGGTCTGTGTGTACCTGTAAAGAGAGGAAAAGACCTTGATCTTTAGGGCTGAGATGTTTCTATTCTCGAGCCCAGTTTGATGTCTGCCTGCTGGGCAGGGTTGCACCGAGTCTCGTGACTGTCTGCAGCTCTCCCAGCCCGTAACTTGTGTGAGACTTTCCCCTTCTGTGAGACTTTCCCCTTCTGTGAGACTTTCCCCTTCTGTGTGTGAGTTTTCTTTCCTCCTTTCTAATCAGTTTTAGGCTGCAGATGCTTCTGGTTTGGGCTGCCTTTCACAGCAATATCTGGGGAGTCTTGCACAGTGCACTGCTGGGGAATGCCAGAGGTTTCCCTCAAAGTGCTGGATGTCAATAATTAACACCAGTGGCTCTTTTGAGCTCCTGGGATTTGGTTAATGAGAGCAAGGTGGCTGCTTTTCATCACCGTGAGAGGATGGCAGCAGTCTCCTCCTAGAAAACAGATCTGGAAGCCTCAGCTTCCTCCTGGTCCTTAGGCTGACATCGACTTGAATTTCATTCTCCCATAACACCTCAAACTCTGCAGATCCCTGAGCTGAGCTGCCAGGGATTCTGACGAAGAGAAAGAAGCACCAGCAGCTATTTGGACAAATGTTCAATTAGGGAAATGACAGAGCTCTCATGTGGGACCTGAGCTGAAGGAAAACCTTGCAGACATTAAGGCCATTAAGGCTGGTGACGGTGGCAGCAAACGAGATGAAAATGAGCAATGGCTTTATTGATGTAGCAGCAGTGAGATGCATTAGTGAGCTATAAAAGCCAGCCAAACAAAACCCCAACAACCCAGCTCTGTCAACACAGCCCGGGGGCTGCACAGCAGCTGAACTGCTGGGAAAAGTTGTTTTGGATTTTTGTGGCTCTGGGGAATGTGTGCCCACAACAGGGTGGCAACTCCCCTCTGTTCTAGTGCAAAGTGCAGCCCTGTACCCCTCAACCCTCTGGGGGCTGCTTGGCCAAGTTCTAATTGGCCTCGGTGGCAATCAGTCAGATCCATAAATAGCTCTATCCCAAAATGCAGAAGAAGAAAAAATTAACAGGAAAGGCATTTTGCCACTTGATGCAAAAATCACTTCTTTTGAAAGCTTTCCTGTGCCAATATCCTGTGTTATTCCACTGCCCAATTTGCACATTGGAAAAGAATAATTGCACACAACTTTTTTCCCCGCAGGGTGGTGTTTTAAGAATGATAACTTGAAAAAAATTAATCATCCAAATGATTCATCAATACCAGCAAAGCAAAGTGAATTACTTCTAATGACTGTGGGTATAGCAAGCAGAACAAAATGAGTTGTAATGGAAAAAACCCACTGGGCTTTTATATACAGCAAAATGAAGGGGAAAACACAGAAAGTGAGACTTTGGGTATTTCTTTGTTT